ATATGTACGTATTAGATGTTCCTTTAGTCAGATATTCGAACAAGCTCCATTTTAGTCAGCAAGCAAACAAATATTTTAATGAGTTAGATGTGCAGAACTAAGGGGTATAGTTCTGGGATCAACAGACATTACTCCTTTAGACTATACCCCTGACCACTGGGCACAACAGATATTACTCCTTTTGACTATTACTTGTGGAGTCGTATTAAGAGTTTAATATGCACTGTACTAGAGATCAATACTAGAGCTGAACTAATACAAAGAATTGTTGTCAGCAAGTGAGAAATAACACAGATTATTGATTATTAACAGATGGACTGAGTGGCCAAAAGCGGCCACTCAGCCCATCCTTGATAACGTTGAACACGTTGAGTACTGCAGAAGAACATTCTGGAACCCTGCTGATTATTTTTTGTTATTTTTGACAATAAAACGTGACGAAAGCTTAGATGTTGTATAGTGATTAACTCATTAATTGTCTAAGTAGGTAGGTAGGTCTAGGATCCTCAAAACTGTATATTAGATACAAAATTATTTTTTATTATAAAAAAATTCAACGTAACATTCATCGCAGCAATAAGCTACCGTTGTCCAATTTACCAGAACAAAGCCCACTTCTCTTTCAATTACTCCAGTCCTACACGGACGACAAAGGCTCGTCTTCTTATTACTTCCTTTATGCCTGTGAAGTCCCTTAAAATTCTTTTGTTCAGGAGGAACGCACCGGATTCGAGACTGGATTTCACTTTTTAAACCTGAATATCTCGACGTCTGTCTGGAAGACTTCAGATATTTGCGCCGTCAAAAACAGGGCTGACTGTGAGGAAAAAGGGTTCTGCTAATCCATGATCCAATTAGTTCAGTTGAATATGTCTAAAGAAAATTTCTGAAAAGTGTTGTGAATTTTAAGCAACGTTTGCAAACGATTAGAAAAAAGAAAATTAAATTCTGATTTCTATTTGTTACATAAAATTATGACTTGTAAAATCATATTTCTTGATTTATTCAGCTGCTTTCAGAATGCTTGATAAGATGAATATTCTTTGCTGACGTATCGTTCTACAAATTATGGTATTTACTCCAATTAGATCATAAAACACGAAAACATGAAAAAAATATTAATAGACATTTTATTGCACTTTATGACGGGGAAGAACTGAATTTGAAATGTTCAAGTCAAAAATCTCGTGCGCGACGAGAGCGATGTTCACGCGCATGCGCGGGCCCGGCGCTTTTTCTCCCGCGTGCAAGCCGTTCATTAACGTTAAATTTTACTGCTGCTAGCGTGTTTATTACATTACAAATATCATTATAAAACTTTCTGAAAATAAAAGTTTAACCCTTTCTTTATTATGTTATTAAATGTTCTAATACGATACAAAAATTGGGTTTTTTGGTATAAAATCGATCACTTCCGAAATACCTACCCGAGGAAATACCTACCCGAGGGGGTAGGAGGTACAGGTACAGGAGGCTGTATATATGTTTGTGTCCTAAGTAAGTTAAAGTTCTTCTGAGCCATTCTCCAGAAAGTAATAAACGATTTCCCCACACAAATTTATTCTTGGCACATATACTAATAAACACTTTTTTGAATTTATAAGAAAGCAAAAAATCTCCATAAAATTCATCGAGACGAGTTCGAGTACGTGTTTAGAATATCAAAAGCAGATTTGAAAAACTCTAAATGTAACTGGATTTCCCTTTGATACAGATCCCATTCCTTTTTTAAGTTCCATTTTGTTTGGGACGAGCTGAATTGATTCGACTCCAAATATTTGTTTTTTTTATTGTTAAAAACGTATCAAAACCAACGCCTGCTCATTCTCAGTTATTATGTTTGACATTGGCCTTGACCTTGACCTTCACGGTCATTTCATGGTCAAGTTAATTTTTCAAATAGAAACCGGTATCTTTCAGACCAAAATAGAAAGTGCGGGGAATTTTGCTTCCGGATATAACCTTGATCATGACCTTAAGTTTCAAAAGTCATTTGAAGGTCATTCTAGTATTTTGCAGGCAAAATTTTAATCTTGTTCATATTTTTCTTTTTGATATGTGGGGCTCGCCATAATTTTCCAGAATACTCATTAACCCTTTGCGGCATGCATTTTTTATTCAAATGTTTTTGAACTCAGACTAGCTCAGAATGTAGTAATAGTTAAATTCGATACGGCGGATCCAATATGTCGAATACTCGGCTCGACCTTGAGTTTTAACGTAGGTTGAAGCATTTTCAAAGTGTTAATCCATATGAAATATGAATATTAAAAATGTTTACCAAAAATTGGTCGGCCATATTGGATCAGCGCCCTCGAAAACCCCCCAGTACACTATTCAGCAAGACGGAAATGAATTGTGCAACAAAAAACTAAAATGAACTTCAAATGACCTTAAAGGTCATGGTCAAGGTCATAGTCGGATGTAAAATTTCCTCCTCTTTTCATTTCTGGTGTCACAAAAATATGTGTTTCCATTTGAGAAAATCAACTTGACCTTGAAATTACCTGAAGGTCATAATCAGGGTTATGGTCAAGGTCACCATTATAATGTCCCCCTCAAAACCCTACACATTTATTTGAAAAATTTTTCAATAAGCCCTTAACTTAAGAGATATTCACGTGTATTTTTTGAAATGGGACACCCGGTAGGTATATGTTTTAAGCAACATGTGTTCCTTTTGATGATTTAATTGCGTGGATATTATTATGAGACAGCTCGTATGCATACATATCAACCATCTGACTTTTCTGGGGACAGCTCTTTGGACACTATATCCGCAATTTACCCAATTGATAAAATTTGTCTAAATTGTCCTGGAAACCTGTTCACCCATCGATTTGTTTATGTACAGATTAACCCCGGCTTTTAGCGACACCAGATTACCGGGAAGTATTACAGTCCGCAATTAGTTTTGATTTACTGACGTTTAGGCCGTTCTATTGAATACACCTTTCACTCGCGAAGGATTCCGTGCGTGACGTTAATTTTATCTCTCAAATTGAATGAACAGTAGCGCAGATTATCCGTCAGTGACCAATTTATCTCCAGCTGAGATTTTGAAGTCAATGATTCCAACCAAAGGTTATATAGAAATTATATTGTTTAATGCCAGTATATTATAACAGGGATGTTGCACTGAATTTTATGGACTGATTTCTGGTGCCAAAATTAACTATTCCTAAGAGCTCTACAATTCTACCAAGATTGAATGTGAAACATAGTTTAATCAATTATTATTCAAGAACCATTGAAGATACATTGAATTTGAACTTCAGTGCAGATCTTGAGAGAAGTTACTTATACCATAAGAACCTTGAATAAAAAGTAACCAGAGGTGTCAAAATAGTTTTGAAGGAATTTATCTATTAAAAAAGATATATGATGTTAAATTATATCGTTTTATGTAACAATTTTGTCTTTTAATTCTTTTTAATTCGAATAACCTAGAATAGTTTAGTTTAGACTGTGGCCAGTCCAACGCCCTGGAAACATCTTGTTCAAATATATTGTTAAGATATTATTATTTTATTTATTTATTATGAAAATATTAATTTTGTCAAATTTGTGTTATGTATTGAGTGTTGCGTTATTTTGGATTTGTTTTTGTAATAATTTTTTTCTTTTTGATTAACTATATATTGTTCAATACAAACCTTTCTTTTGTTTTACCTTGTATTTTTTTTATCCCTTGCTAGCTTTTGACGTCACGGGTGTATGTTTCTTCATCCGTAAAAAGTATACGGGATACAACAAGATGATTATTATTGATCCATCGACAAAACTTGATACACTTAGCATAATCTTCCGGTTGAAGGTGTTGTACTCTCTGTACATGGTACGTATACAGGGTGTTAATGATAAGTTTTGCCAAACTTTAATGGTGTATTCTACCGATGAAAATAATCAAAATTTTTGATAGGATGCTTCCCTACAAAGATACAGGACGTTAAAACTTTCAAATATTTATATTATTTTTCCTGTAACTTCACTGGCATAAAAAAATGAATGACAAAATTTGAGGGATCACCTTTTTTTAGTAGGGACTATTTTTTCATGGACAACTTATTTTAAAATACACTCCAGTGACGTAGCTATTAGGTAGGGGACCTTTTTGAAAAAAAAATTGTACGCCACTGGTTCTTTAAATAATTTTAAATGTTTTTAAAATGTACAATCGATTTGTGGCATCCAAGTAATCTTGTAAAGAATTCGTAAAATTTACTGGTCTTTAGATAATTGGGAAATCAAATAAGAAACCCTCTACAATGCATTGTCCAAGTACTTCTACATTGGGAACCGGAGTACCTACAGTATACCATAGTTTTGAGGTAGCCCAAAAAAGGTAATCCAAGGGATTTAGGTCGGGGGAACGAGCCGGCCAAGCAATGGGTCCTCCTCTACCAATCCAGTGATTAGGATACTGATTATTTAGTAACTGTCTAAAAGTAAGGCTGTAATGAGGTGGCGCCCCATCATGCATATGCCACCATAATTGACGTAACCTCAATGGCACTTCTTCTAGAAGTGGTGGTAATTGTTCTTGTAGGAACCTTTGATAAGTTCTACCATTAAGGGTACTTGGTAAAAAGTAGGAACCCATCAAGTAATCGCCCACAATGCCTGACCAAACATTCAGAGAAAACTATTCTTGGAATTGACGTTGGGAAATAATATACGGATTTTCATCCGCCCATTGGTGTTATTATGATGACAATTCGAAATGATTTCCCTTGTAAATTTCGCTTCATTGGTAAATAATATTAATGAAAATTAGGCTGTACGTGTTGTTGTAAAAAACCACTGACAAAATTCAATCCTCGGTTAATAGTCATTTTCATTTAATGCATGAACTCGCTGGACATGATAAGGGCGTAATTGCTGCTCACGTAAGACGTTCCAGATTGTGATACATCCAAATCTGTTGACATCTGTCTGGTACTGGCAGATGGGTCTGCAACCTACATATTCCAAAATTCTGTCTTCCAAATGAACTGTACGAGCAGGTCTTTCTCTTGCTCGACGTTTTGGTTGCGACAAACATGCAGTTTCACGAGCTCGACGGTGAACGCTTGAAAAAGTATTCCTTGTTGGACAACGTCGATTTGGAAAAGTCTGTCGATAAAGTCGTTCATCTTGTGTAGCATTGCCATTCGCTCTACCGTATGTAAAATGTATATATGCTAATTCAATATTTGTATAATTGAATACCATATTTTTTTTTATTAAAATCTGTTTTAATTGTATGAAAAATAATAAACTTTTTCCAACACACAAAACAGTAGTGTTGGATAGTATTTTGAAATCTCTCAAAAATATTAGGTACTGAATTTATTGTTACACATTTAGCAATCAATAGAAAATGATAAATAGCAATGTAGGTACCTACTTAAGTATCTTCGTATTTAATTTCCCAATTATCTAAAAACCAGTAAATTTTACGAATACTTTATTGCCACAAATTAATTGTATATTTTAAAAACATTTAAAATTATTTAAAAAACCAGTGGCGTACGATTTTTTTTCAAAAGAGGTCCCCTGCTAACCCAATAACTACACCACTGGAGTGTATTTATCCATGAAATAGTCCCTACTAAAAAAATGTCATCCCTTAAATTTTATCATTAAATATTTTTTGACAGTGAAGTTACAAATAAAAATAATATAAATATTTGAAACTTTTAGCACCCTGTATCTCCGTAGGGAAGCGTCCTATCAAAAATTTTTATAGGGCAAACGTTGATTATTTTCAGCGGTAGAATACACCATTAAAGTTTGGCAAAACTTATCATTAACACCCTGTATAATGCTTGCTCATGGAGGGTTTTTATTACTATTTTTTGTAGAATGCTCAGAATATTTTCCACTTCTAAACCTTGTATATGTGCTGGTTCAAATGTTATACTAGCATTGGGAAGGTTTCCGGTTTCGCAAAGTTTATTAAAAACTATGATAAATACATTTTTATCAGGACATCTGTGATGTGAAAACCATCGACGTTTTTCTTCAACAGTAGCATACATTTTCATTACAAAAACCATAAAAAAAACACCATATTTGCATACTCTATATTTTGTTAGCATTTTGTAACACTAATCATATAAACATGCAAACAATTGCAACAAAAATAGCACTGACTAATATCCTACTTTTGAACTTGGAACATGACATACTCTGATTTTAAAATTTTAATTAGGCTAGTTTGGTGCGATTCGCCCGACTCACCCCGTATGTTTTAATGGTAACACACCGAAATCTTTTTTCCATGTTCTGGCTTAAGTAAAATGTTATTATTCTCTTTTATTTATTTTGCCAAGAGGAATCAGTCCTGAGAATCTGTCTCACGTTACTTTTACAAATATTGTATAAACGCGTAATACAAAGAAGTATTTGAATGCAGGAAACATGTCCTTCCTTTTAAATCGAGCTCACATATAAATAATATGTATGCTGTTATTCTTCATTGTAATGTTGTACAACAAAGTCGAATAATTATAGAGTGATTGCGTACTTCGCAAATATCTCATCAAAATTTATACAGGAGGAAGCTTTGGAGAAAAAAATGGAAACCAAATTTCCCTAATCTTTTAAATACTTGTAATAAATATCCTACGAAAAAAAACTGAATTTGAATCAGTAAACGCATACTAAAAACCCAATCCTTTATTGATTCAAATTTATATTTAAATGAAAGTCCTCTGAGATGTTTCTTCATTCAGAGATCCAGAGAACTGTCACAGCGCTTTTACAGATCCTCGTCAAGGAATGATTTTGCCAGTGAAATCCCAGGAGGGTAAGATCCGATCTAGGGACAAACGTAAAGTTTAAGATTTTCCCCAGAGAGTAAATACATTTTTGACATTGTATATTTTCCTGCTCTCACGACAAAGATTGGGTAGGACTTTTTAGTTCGTCGGCTATCAGATATAAAGCGTATATAAATAATATACTAGAGTTTGACCGAAAGACTCCTTGCTGTAAAGGAATCATCTGCAGTGTACAAGTTCTGGTTTCAAAGGTTTATGTTAAACCAAACTGTAAAATAAACAACTTGAAAAGATGAACTGTAAATAATAAAGATTATTTCAGAAGAGGATACAAAATTTAAGGATACGGGGTCTGTTCAGAACTTAACGGAACTTTTTGAATTCCGTGCTAATGGAGATGTTTAGTGATATGCGGATGGCAGCATTGCGTTGCGGATAACCTCCTTTGTAACCACATATTCTTGGTCGTCAGTCAGTTGAAGATGATCCTCGATTAGGAAGGAATTCGGTTTCAACTAATGACACCTACATTCAGGAAGTCAAAGATCTTGTTGCATGCAAATCGCCGATTGACTGTCAGAGAACAATCCAATGACAATGAATATTTATTCAAAGGATCATAACAGAAGACGAATGCTGGGTTTACGGCTACGACATTGAGATCAAAGTTCAATAATCACAATTGATTAGCAAAGAATCTCCACGCCGCAAGAAAGCACGTCAATCTTGATCCAATGTCAAAGTGATGCTCACTGTTTTTTTAGATTTATTGTACATTTTGAATTCTTAACTCAAACTGAAGCAGTGAACCGTGTACTATTAAGGCGTTACGTGAAAAAATCCGCTAAAAGAGGCCAGATTTGTGGCGAGACAACTCATGGTCCTTGCACCATGACAATGCATCCGCACAATCAGCTTTGTCAATTTATCAGTTTTGTGTCAAAATTCAGATTACTGTCCTCCTCACCCTCCTTACTGGCCAGACCAGGCTCCCATCGAATTTTTCTTATTTCCGATCTTAAAATCAGTGCTGAAAGGACGCTGTTTTCAGGCTGTTGATGACATCAAAGTAAAATCGTTACAGAACCTAAAGGCCATTTAAAATGAAGCTATCCAGGACTGCTTCGAGAAATGGTAGGAAGTGTGTGAATAGGGGAGGGGAGTGTTTTGAAGGAGACAAGGACCAATAATGTATCCAATAATTAATAATAAAGTTTAAAAAAATAAAGGTCGATTATTTTCTGAACGGACCTCATATACAGACAGTTCTAGTTTAGCTATTAAGTGACTGATTTATAGTACGATCGTATTCGATGCAAAGTAATAAATCATTGCCTGTCAAAGGAATCAGTGCAACACATTTTATAGGGGGTTTTGGAAATTGAATAATTTCTTTATGCATTATGGATTAACAATTATATATTTATGAAGAACAAAATGAAAAACAAAGGCATCTCCTTCGCACATTGGGCGGCAGGGCAACAATACATTTATGACTTGCGTCTTGTGTTTTTTGCGGTGGCGCGCGTGCCGGCCTGGCGTGGTCAGTTTCGTTTCGGTTGTATTGGTGCTGCGTGTTTCTCGCTCGCGATATTTGTGAGGTTATAACTGTTATAAGTGCAATTATATTTCTTTCGGGCTGTAAGTGTGTTTCGCGCTATTATTTGAGAATTTGTGAGTGAAATCATATTTCTTGTGCTCCGTAACAAAAGTGTTTTTAGTGTTTTATTTGTGTGCTGTGTGTGTGTTTCGGGCTGTTGTTTGTGAATCGTGAATGCTATTATATTTTCTGTGCTAGTGAAGTGAAGTTTTTTGTATTATTATTGCTCTGTTGTCGTTATATGGATAAATGGAGGCGGTGCCTGGATTTCGGGGAGCCGGATGTACTGGTGTGGATACAAAAAAATCTAATTAAGTTACAGAGAAAAAACGATAATATTAAATGTCTATAACCCTTTAGAAAAGGATCATCCCATGAAACTGAAGACTGGTTTGGTGGAAATGTGTTCTAGATATACTGGAGTAAGCGAATTATCTGTTTTCAAAATTTTAAGAGAGAAGAAAATTGAAGGAGACGTTAAGAAACCTAAAAAAGGGGGTGCAAAGAAGAAATTAATATTAAATGAAGATGAGAAAAATGCAGTTTGGCGTACAGTACATAAATCATAGAATTTATATTTTGTTTATAATTTGTTAACATTTCTTGTTTGATAGAAAAATAACTTATTTTGTTGAGATTGGTAGAGAATTGTTGTTAGTGTTTTCATTTGATAGAATCGTATCATAGGATTTATATTTTGTTTTCATTCTGTAAATATTTATAGTATATCTGTTATACAAGGTTTTTGCTTTGAAACTTCGTTCTTATAAAAAAAAAGAATCGTAATGGGGTGCGATGAAGAGATCAGTTCACGTCTGGGACCCTGTTCCTACAAAAATCCCTTTATTCTCATAAAGTATTTGTTTTAAATGTAATTTATTATAAATCCAATTCGTTATGTAAATTCCACATATGTACTACATTTCACCTCTGTACGCGCCACTGTTTATTGTTCCCTGCTCTACGATCAAGCTCGCCAGGTTAGTATTTGACGTATAACCGACCACTTCGTACACTCGATGCACCTGGCCGACTACAGCTAGTACCAGAACACAGTGCGTATGCGGCGGTATTTCAGATTTTACATTCAATTTCATTTTAAATTTGAAACGGTTCATCTTACGCCTCCTAAAAATGATGACACGATTTTCCTTTGATAAAAGACCGACAATTTTTTGCTCTACTTTGCATCGTATACGATCGTACTGTAGTGCCTTAGAATTAAAAAAAGCCAGATCACATTTACTCAAATATCTCTTGGGATATTTGACGCAGACTAATGAAACTTAGTCTAATGATTTCACTAATTAAAGGGAAAAATTCACTTAAGTATACAAATTAGTTAAGCAGGGGCGGAGATACCGACGGGCAACTGCAACTAGGAATAACAAAATTTTGACCCGCTGATACCTTAGAAATAAAATAAACAAATAAGTAAGTGTATTTAAGTCTTAATAAAATGAAATATGATTTTAATAGTTTGTCACATAATAAAATGCATTACAAAACTGTTATTCATAAATTATGATGAATATGATGCATATCTAATGGATAATGACGGTAGGATGAATAATAGAAAAGGTTGATCTTTTTTTAGTAACGTTTCAACCTACTCCGTATGCCAATATTTCTTAATATATTGAATTTATCATTTTAATTTGCTTTTATTTAATTACTTAGCTATTTTCATGACTCATAAGTAGGTATAGTTTTAATAAGGAATGGATATATATCTTAAAAACAATTATGTTAAAATAAAAAAAAAAAA